TCTTTTCTTTTTTCCTTTTCTCTTGTTTCGCTTATCCCTTCTTGTCTTGCATTTTCTTTTCCTTTTTCTTTCCTTTCATTTATCTTCTCTCTGTCTTTGTTGCCTTATCGTTTCTGATTTGCCTCTTAGTTGTCTATCCTGTTATCCTCTATCTTTTCCTTCTTTTTCTTTCTTCTTTACCTTCTTCTTCCGTTTTTTCTACCTATCGTCTCTTCTTATTCTCATTTCTTATTATTGATTCTTGTTGCTTCTTCTTTTCTACTACTCCTTTTTCATACTACTTGTCCCTCGTTTTACTATCTTTCATTCTCTTCTTCTTCTCTTTCTTCCTTTCTCACAATCATCTCTTTTTATCTTCTCGTTTACTTGCTTTTCATCCTTCTTGCTCTTTTCCTATATTCCTTCATACTTCCCTATTCTGCTGTCTTTTTTATTTATTTTCCTTTCTCTTTGCATCTCTATAAGTTTTCCGTCATTATCTTTCGCGCTTGTTGTTTTGCCTTTTCGTCTTTCCCTCTTTATCGTTGGCTTTTTATTTCGGTGCTTGTTACTGCTTCTTCTTTTTGCCTCTTTTTGATCTTTGTCTTTTCTCTCATGTCTCTCTTTTCTTTCTGTTATCTCCTCTTATCTTTTGCTTTTCCTACTTTCTATTTCAGTTTCTTGTTTTCTTTTGTCACTCGTTTCATCTTTGTTACTTGTCTATCTTGTCTTTTTCCCTGTTTACTACTTTTTTACTTTTTATTTTCCGTTGTCACTTTTCTTTCCTTGCCTTGCTTTTCTTGCGTTTTGTTTAGTTTCCCTTTTCTTTCCCTTTCTTTCTCTATATTTTTCTCGTTTCTTTTTTGTCCTTCTTTTCCTTTATTTTTTTCTTCCTTTCCTGCTCTCCTTTTCTTTGCTCTTTTCTTCTTTTCTCAACCTTTTCCTCTTATTGCTTCTTTTTTACCTCCTATTACTGTATCTCTCTCTTGCGTCTTGCTCTCTTTGCTATCTTGCTTTTATTCATTCCTTTCAACTCTTTCTCTACTGTTCCTACTTGTATCTTCTATTTCCTTATTTCTCTCTTTTTTTCTTTTTTCCTTTCTCTCGATTCCTTTATTTTTTTCGTCTTTCTCTCTTCTCTACTGCCTTTTTCGTACACTTCTCTGTCTAATTTCGTTTATTTCTTTCCTGCATTATTTCTTTTATTACTTTTGTTGTCTTTGCTTTGTCGCGTTGTTACTTAATCTCTTTCTCGTTGTTTCTTCACACTTTTAAATGTTCTATTGTTCCCTTTCTTGTATG